TTATTATTACTTTAAATATTGCATTATTTATCCTTATGCAAAAACATAATTTATCAGTACTAAAAGCATATTTAAAGGATAAGGTACTCACTTTTGTTATTCAATGAATTGTGCAGCTTCAAAAGTTATTGATCTTTTCCTATTATATTATTTTCCTTTAATAAGTTAAAGTAAATTGTACAAAAAATATAAAATATTTATTAATGTATGTAATTATTATGTGTTTAATAGTTTCACATATAGAATTTTTATCTTTTACCAATGTTTAAGGTTTTGGACACTTTAAAACAGTTTAGGACAGTTTTAGGCAGTTAAGACAGTTCCAATTGTGCAGTCTGCGGAAGATTTTGTAAATGTTGTAAAAGAAGCTATGTCACCTATTACAGTGATGCTATTTTTAGATAAAGAAACAGAGATAATAATATGTGGGCCAGCGCAAGAGTAATACCAGGAATTTCTAAAATGCATGGAATTACATATTCGCCTTCTGGTTTAAAATTTATAAAAATGTTGTAGCACCAATAAAAAGAAATCTTAATACCAGGGCAATTAACACCACAAAAAGTGTTAGAGGAAATTAGGTTGTTGTGAAATATGATAATAGCTTATATGCTGGAGAAGTTACGCAAGTGCTTGGAAATGATATTGAAGTTTCTGCCATGGTAAAGCCTGGAAAATATTGGAAATGGCCTAAACGAGAAGATAAAGTGTTTTACAACATGAGGAAGTTGTTAAAGTTACTCAGCCACCTACAGTTATAAATGTTCTTGGAGTTTTTGATTTTCCCGATTTTTAGAGAAATCTAAGTTATGCACGGGACATGAAAACAAGTGCTAATTTTTTTTATCTTATATTAAACTTAGAGGAACTTCCTTTGTAATATAAGTCAGTACTAAGAGAAAGAAAGTAAAATTGAAGCAGTTTCTGTTTTGCCCTAAAAATAAATGAAAAAAATAAAAATTATCACGTTTTTGTGTTATGCACGGGACAACCAATTTTCGCTCAAATAAATTTTTATTTTTTACATAATTTTAATATGATTTTTAAATTTTTAATTTATTTTTAAATAAGAACATTATATAGATATATGGAAAAAAAAGAAGAAAATTGAAATGCTATAATATTTTTTCAGCTAAGGAAATAAATGTAAATATGTTGAATATAACAAGAAAACTTAAAAAGTACAATGCTAAATTTTAAGAATGGATTCCATAATAAAAACTTAAATATAACTATTATTGTATCTCATTTTTTAAGATTTAACCTATGTACTTTATTATTGAATAAATTAAAAATATGTACAAGTAAGATAAAAATTGAGGTTTAGAGTGTTTACAGTGGAGAATGGCCCTATTGCTCAAGGGCTGCAATTGTGGCACAACTAAAAAAAGCACGCGTTTTGGACTAAGAACAGGTATAAATATGAAAATACACATCTTTTTCAGCAGCAATACTAGCACAACTAATAATTCAACTAGAAGGTAATCTTCGTTTAAGCATACTAAAGTATTTCTTATGCATTTTGCTTAGCAATGAAAACTTTAAACCCACTTATCTCAAAACTTGATTTTTTGAGTTGTGCTGCTATTGCAGCCTATGAGCGATATGTTAGGAATGGATACTTGACTTTTTGTTTTTATTAAAATCAAGCCGTGTTCGTAAATTACTACGTTGTTATTATGATGTGTGTTAATGCATTTTATATGAGATCAATTTTTAAATTTTTTGCAAGGGATTTTTTTAAAAATCAATACGCGTTATTATTTTTAAGTTTATTTTATTTATTTAAAAGCATTTTAGTGCATAAAAATATTATAAATTTTTTTTTTTTTGAAATCTGAACTTAAAATTTTATTTTATATTTTTTTAAAAAGGATGCTTATCTTCTGGAGTTCAATTTAATCATGGTTAAAACTGCTTATTCTTTTCAAATTTTAAAACCGTGATTACAAATTTAAAATTTCTTTTAATTTAAAAGGATTAATTAGATTAACAAATAAATTTATGTAATTTCTTTTAATTTAAAAATTCTGCGTTCTATTTACATTCGTTTTTAAAACATTTTCTTTCACAAAAAAAAAGTCTTTTATAGTTATGCCTTATTGGGAGGAACGTAGGTATTCTTACATTTTCCTCTATTGTACTGAAATTCTTTTCTCTAGATTTTTAATCCGAAGCTTCTTTGTCGTATAGATGGCAGCACCACTGACCTGCTTAACACTAAATTATAAAGTGTTTCTCATCTCTAACGATAGAGGATACCTCAAATCTATATAACCTATACCACAGACAGATAAATAACATTCTGGGATTTATTTGACAAAACACAACTCTACCACAACCTAACTCCAATGTCTATCATCTAACACAAAAAGCCTAACTCCAATATCTACATTGCTCAAAAAAATTAGGGGAGCACACGGATTTAATGAAATTATGCAAATATTTCTTCCGATAATTAAATCAAAACAAAATATCCATAGTCTTAAGTATAGCAGAAAACATGGAGAAGAAAACCACGTGATCTACCAGAATGAACGGCGAGGCGTAATATCGAGAGACTGGAATCAGGGCAAACACAAAGACGTGTAGCGGACGCTGTTGAAGTTGCAAGAAGTATAATTGCAGGACTGGAATCGATTTCGTGAGACAGGGTATGTTTGACGTCATCCAAAATGAGATCGGATACGACCCACCTCAGCAAATTATAACCGATATCTCCAGTTGCTATTTACGGATGAGTGCCCGATTCAGTTTAGAGTGTGACACCAGACGTGTTTTGCTATGGCGGAAAAGAGACACTCGAAATAACCCTATATTCGTCCAGGACGGATCACATTATAGAAGAGATGATTTGATCATCTGAGTTGGAAACAGTATAGATGAACATACTGACCCGTATTTCATTCAGAAAGGCAATTTGATGACTCAAAAGTATGCAGACAAGATTCTCAGATCCCATGTAGCATCTTACGCTCCAGCCATCAGTGATTTCTTTCTTTTAATAAAGGATAATGTCAGACCTCATGCAGCTCGTCACGTGGAGAAATTCCTTGAAGCAGAAACCATATATTGAGTGGCCAGCATGCTCTCCAGATCTTAATACGATCGAGTTTACTTGGGGTTAATCAGATCGAGTTCGCACTAGGATGCGTTGCTGCAAAATCAAGGCCTTTTGTTACAGTCCAAGAATTGGAGATCGCACTTCGTCAAGAGGGGAACAATATTCCTCAAAGTCTCATCGATAGCCTCATCGCATCCATGCAAAATAGGTGTGCGTCAATCTTAGTGGTTCGAGGAGACCACGCACCATATTAAGCATCCTTTATCATTTCCGTACTAACAGTTTTTTCTCATTTACATGCTATCGAATTGTTGCCTTGAAACATCATTTCATGTTCCTTATAGCATTCCAAATAATTAAATTTCCTAGCGATTGTTTTTTGCTTCTCTTTTTATATGTTGCATTTTGTTAAACTTATATTCTCCATTTTTTGATCGAGTATGGCAATCAAGCAGAGGTTTCATAACTTTTTTGCTTGCTCCCCTAATATTTTTTGAGTAGTGTAGTTAAATTGATTTTTTACGTTAATAAAACTGTGCAAGGTGTAAAGGGCTTTAAGCCCTATACAATTGTAATCGCTTTTTTAGCCATACCAGTTTTAAACGGTTTCAAAATCGTAAAGGTAAAGAAATGTTTCTAACTGTAAGCTTTACGGTAAATTGGATGAACAGACTGCTACCGGGTATTTTACTGTAATTTTAGGATATAATTTTAACTGTTTAGACTGTAATTATTTTCAACCTTTTCTACGTTCAAGCTTAAAACTTTTAATCTTACGTCTTTATTTCCCAAAAGTATATTACTAAATTTCTTATTCCGTTTAAAATGTTAAATTTGCTTTTACAAGCTTTTATTGTTAAATTTTCCATTCCTCTTTAAGCGTTAAATTAGTTTTTATTAACTTAAATTTTTAAATTTTTTAATTCTGCGTCAATTCTAATAGAATCATTCCTATTAAATCCCTATATAGTTGTAATTTGGTATTTAATTTTGGTTTTCATCAAAAAATTATGTTTAGATATTTCTCATTTAAAAGGTTTAATTAATTCAGGTTCAAAGGTTTAATAATTGTATATTTATTTTTTTACTATTTTTAATATTAACAAACAACTGAAGAAGACTACTTCAACTAAAGATACTTAATATAAGTGTTTTTTAACCATGCAAATACCAAAGCAAGATAACTTCACAAAAACCGCTCTGTTTTTCTATTAAAAAAAAACATCCAGTCCTTGAAAACTGGCGACACGAAACTTAACTTGGCGACAAAAATGGAATCAGCATAACGCTAGAATTCATGCAACCCTGGACAAGGTTCCATTTTGCTCAGCTGATGAGAAGTTCTCTTCGGTCTTCATCACGTTTCTCCCTATCGAAAATATCTGTCATCTTTTGGATTTATCCGATTCTTGGATTGCTTCCAATTTAATCCTTTCAATCCCGGGATTAACAAATTCCTTATTGCAAGAATTAGTAACTCTCAATTCCCTTTACAAGTATTGGGGTTCCTTTTTCCACAGGCAGTGCAAGAAAAGTTCCAGATTTCCAGAATTATCGTTTGTGAAATATAACAGCTTCGAACCCAGTACATATTGATGTGCTATTTAATTGTAAGTACTTTTAAAAAATGGTTCAAATATGAAGCTATCAGTACTACTCAACCGGTCAGATCGATAACGTTTTTAATTACGAAAGTATCCGATTATTGATCATTGGCTTGATACTGTGTCAACAGTACTGTTAATGGTGTGAACGGTTATGGATAAACATGTTTCTCAGCTTATTGTTTGAAGATGAACAGCAAGATGATACTTGAATTATGAGATGAAATAAGTATTCAGTTAATTATACTAGTTAGTAGCGTAAGAAAGGGTCAGTGCCAGTTAGTGAAAGAAGGTTATAGTATTACTGAGCTTTATTATTTTAATTAAAAATAAACGCTATGATTGATTGAACTGGTTAAATTAAGCTATAATAATGAATTATATAAATGAAATTATGTACTTGGAATACTATTATTTTAGTTAAATATTCAAAAACTTACTAATTAAACTCAAGATTGCTTTAGTTGAAATTATAAATTTCATTTATTAATTTTCAGTACGTAATTATTATTGAATAATAAAAAATAACCATGGGTAATATCGTTCTAATATTATTTAATACCCATGAGAAGATGGTTACCCATAGACTGCTAAATTGCCAGTCTGCTATCCTTGTTATGATTTCTTAAAATTCAATCAAAAATGTCATCTGATACATTTAAGTGACATTCTTGAGAATGGATAAGATACCAGAAGATACCACCGACAGCTGCAGCACAAGTAGTTCAGTTGAGCTGCAGATACCGACAGTGAGTAACAATGATGCAGACGATAGCGATTCAGCAACAGTTGTGCCATTGCATCCCAGCATCCAAAATGCGGATTCTAGTCCGTATTCTAGTTGCTCGGAGGAACCTAAACAGTTCCTGACAATTAGTCCGGGAAGACATTGTTCTGTAGATTCCTCATCGTCCGGCAGTTCAGGTGGCAGGAGATCAAACTGTTCTACACCATGCAGGTCTCCTGTGCCACCCAGCAGTCCTCAGGGTCCCAGATTTAAACTTATATACGAGGGACAAGTGCATTTGTGTCGCCTAAATCATACTAGAACAGTAATTAGCAAATTACTGAGTTCAAGGTTCTTAAGGAGGTGGGAGACACATCATTTGATATTAGAGGATTCGTACATGACATCCAGACATGTAAGTTTAATTTACATGTTTTTTAACTTCACATATTGTTTAATTTACACGTTTTATTTTATATGTCTATTTTACATTTTTTAAATTTTGTATTTTAAGTTGATTGATTAGCAGGGCTAGAGTTTCGAAAGTCTTGAATTGGATTTGGGCTGGACAAGTGACTTGTTGTCAAAAACGGTTTTTAACCGCTCTTAATTTAAAAAAAATATCCAAAATCTAGAATGCAGAAAATAGTTAAAAAATGAATAAATATCTCCGAATGTAATGAATAACTATACACTCATTGCATAAAAATGAATATCAGGCTACATTTTCAGCCATAATTAATTTTAAACATTTATTCAACATCAATTGAAAAACTCGCAATTCATAGGTTATATTAATATTATAGGTTATATTAGGTTATATTAATAAACTTTATATTTAATCAGGGTTTGAGTTTTGGACAGAGAGCGTTGGGCTTACCATTCAAAACTATCAAACTGCTCAAAAATACAAAGAAGATGGAACCAGTTACTTTTAATTCAATTCTTTTTAATGCATATATTTTTACATCATAGATCTATGTTTGATAGTTGTTTAATTAATAAGTTGTTAATTTTTTTTATAACTTGTTGTTAATTTTTATTATTTTATTACAATACTTTGCATCGCCTCAACAAAATCTATCTATTTGACTGTTGACTGAAGTGTTTTGGATAGTTTTTTGACCGAATCGGCAAAACCATAGTTCCTATCGAGGATTTAACCATTGTGTTCAAAATTTTGCCAACCTGGCTTTTAACAGGTTGACTGTAAATTGGATTAAGATATGCTAATTTGCTGCAAAATAAACATGATATTTAGCTGAACCAAGTTTAAGTTTACCCAATCGTGAATTCATATGCAAAAAAATTAAATTACAGGATTCATATTTCTTCAAGCTTGAAACACATCTACTATTCAGTAGCTGATAGTTTTAATAAAACAAATTATTTTATTGGTTAGGGCATTAAATACAACTTGTTTCAACAATACTAATTAACTAATACAAAAACGATTTAATTAAATAATCTTATAAGATTAGAGTACTGGAAAGTAAAAAAAATTGCTATTGTGTTAAAATAAATAGTTCTCAAATGCACTGTAAAAAATTCCGGATTAAATTTCGGCGTAAAGTACCGATACTTTGGTTACATCATTTAAAAAAAGTACATTTACAGAAGAATAGTATATCGTAATTTTTGCAACAATATTTTTTTAATTAGAGTGATTCAGTGATTTTATGGCAGTTATTACTGTAAAAATTATGGTATATCAGTTTTTTGTTGTTCCTTAACATGTTTCGGTAAAAATAGATTTTACGGTAAACAGTATCGGCACCTTGACTGCCGATACTTTTTAATATAATTTGATCCGGAATTTTTTACAGCGTATATTGTCTGACAATCATGAGAAAAACATTCAGTTTGGTTTGAGTCTCATCTCGTGACTGCTAGACTGAAGGAGAGTATTTTATGTTTCGACACATTTTGTTCTGCACTATTAAACTTATTGAAGCACGACAAACCCGATTAACGTCTAAATTTGCTTCAATCTAATTCAAGTATTGAATTGTACCATATTATCAAGTAAATAAGCCAAATTAACTAATTTTAATTTTTATGTTTCAACTTGAATGGAAACATGCTTCAATTTAACAATTTATTAAGGTTCCATCGTATTCATACATATTATGTTTCAACATTGGACTGATTTTTGAGGAGTGCAGACTGAACCATAGTATTGACATTTTGTTAAGTAATATTAAGCGCACTTTTTTAAGATCCCAATTTTTTGTTTGTTTGTTTGTTTCCGAATTATTTTTGTTGTTTAAATTGAACTATCATTTCGTGCAGTGCAGTGAGAGAAAGATCAAGTTGCACGGTTTTATGGAATAAAATGACACCATACTATTCTAGAAGAAAATGTAGTAAATATTATGGCTCGTTATTAGTATATATATCTCCCTGGATGCCCCCTGACGGAGGCGGGACAGGGTTGAGTAATAAATCAGCATATATACCAATATGTCAAAAAATTTTAATTTTGACACTGTTAAATATATTGTTATAGTGCACAAAAAAAGAACCGAGACTTCCTGAATAACGTTTGATCGAATTTTCACGGTCAAGGTCTCAATGGTTAGAGGGGATGACCTCAAATATGCTAATTAATTAGTACAGACGATGTTTCAAGTTATGAAATCAGACACAAAATGCATTTTTTTCTTAATAAATATACCTGTTTTTGGACGGATTCAGATTTTTGACCCCCCAAAATGAAACGAGTAGCCCCAATCTAGGAAATATGGTCAGAATAGTTTGGTCAGGAGAGCTGTCCAAAATTTGGACCCCATAATATTAATTTTTGCTTATTTTAACATTTCTCGAGAACTTTTTAAGCGAAATGAAAAATTTTTTGCATTTAGTTATGAAATTTGTTTATCCAAAAATAATTTACTGCAAAAAAACTTTTAGTAAATGTTTATTATTCTTTATATTTTATTTAATAATAGTCAAAAAATTTTTGAATTGCAAGAAGTAAATTTTTTTTACATCAAATTTGAAGAATGTACATGGTTTGACGGAAACCGATCGTATAGTTACTGAAAAATCAAATTTCAAAAAGTAATATTTTTGGATTTTTTTATTTTAGGGCATTTTTGAGATTTTTGGTGATTTTTTGTGTTTTCACAAAATAGAAGTTTTGAAGTATATTTCCGTAGATGCATCAATGTAAATGTATCGAAACAGTTTTCCTATCTTCTTCAGCCTTTTTTTCTGAATTTAGCATTAATTGCAAACTTAATTGAAAATTAAATTTCAATTTCTCTTAATTTACATTTTTATGCCATACGATACTTTACTAAAGAAATCTTTAAATTTAATACGGGATTATTTAAATGAATTTTTTGCACTAGATTGCGCAAGGAAGTAATTTTGACTGCTTTTTAATTTCAATAAGAAAAACAATGATGTATATAATTACACAATTTCTTAGAATTTTGTGATTTTTATAATTATTTTTATTGTTGGTATTTACTAGTAACTTGTTACGTAACTGAAAATGATATCAAAAATATTAAAAATTAATTTTAAGCAAATTTATTTATACATTAGTTTTTCTTTCTTAATGCAGTCATTTTGACTGCTTTTGGGCAATATAGGTATTTCAGTCTTTCTAGTGTTAATGCCCTTTATTTTACTATTTTTTAAGGACATATTTCTAGATTTTTTAAATCGTCAAAACCCAGGATCTGATATAATTATACTGCTATAATAAAGTGTCAGTTATTTGTAACCTTAATAAAATGTTATATTTGACAATATATTAGTTCAAGTTATTAATTAGTTAAGTTATTTATTTGTGTTAATCAAGATTGTGGAATTAAAAATAAGAAATATTATCTTGAGTTTGGTATTTATTTTTTTACAAATTGTAAATTAAAATTTCTGAATGTTTATGAAGATATGTCGTAACTACCCAACTTTCTTGATAATTGGAAATTGCAAAGGTTTGCTTTTTACAATAGGTATTTTGACAATAGACAAGCATATTTCATTATCATGGGTATATTTCATTTAAGTTTTCAAGTGTTTTCATCTTTCTCTTATTCTCCCACTTTTAAATTAATATTATCATTTCTAAATTATCATTTCATTATCATCTCTAAATTATCATTCTAAATTATCATTTCTAAAATAGTATTTCTAAAATATCAAAGAATTCTGATTTTTTAAAATTTTTCAAACAATTAATTTTTATTATTCTTTCTTTTTTGCCACACTTTTTCAAAGGTTTTTTTAAATATTTTTTTTGTTAGAAACTGGAGTTGGATACCAGTTTGAATTGATTACAAGTCGTAATAATGCAATATTGTAGTTTACATTTTACATTTGAAACCATGATTGCAAGCAATCATAAATTATGATTATAATTGCACACTGTAAAAAATTCCGTATCAAATTACGGTAAAAAGTACCGGCACTCTTGGGACATGTAACGGAACAAAAAAATCTGATATACCATAGTTTTTACGATAATATAATTTCCGTAAAATCATTAAATCACTCTAATTAAATAAATATTGCTGTAAAAATTACGGTATAATATTGTACAGTAAAAAGGGATTTTGCTGTAAAATGGATTTTACGGATTATGCATCCAAAATGCTGATACTATATATCGGAGATCAGGAATTGTTACAGTGTAGTTCCGGTTATAAGTTGTGATAATTACTATCTTAATGTACTATTACGAATTGTCATGATCTCCATTTATGAGTATACATGATTGTAACTAATAGAAATTATATGTGTTTGACATATATACAATTACAAAGGATTATGATCACTTGATTTGAAATAATCTGTTTAATCCACCAATCAAAAGTTAGGATGACAATATAATTGAATACCTGTTATTGCGATGTTTAAGTTGATTTATTGTTATAGTTATCTTTCCATTTTTTTCTTTATACTTCAGATTATAACATAAATACATTTTTAAGCAATAAAGTAGAATTATAACATAAATGTAGCTTTATATTAAAATAATTGTTTCTAAATAGGGCATTTTTCAAACCGTGGAAACAAAACTTAAAAGCTCAGGCAACAGTTAAGTTATTTAATTCACAGTTTGTGACAGTTGGTCAAAATTTTTGAGTAAATTTTGTAATTCTGTTTATTGTCATAAATTAGTTTAAATTGTTGTAAAAGTTTTCTACCATAAAAAATATTTTTTTTCTATTCAAAAGGCTGAATTTTGGACATCGAGTCAATGTAGCACCAAGATAATTTCATTAAATGTGTCTAGTTATTTACAAATAAAAATAAGTGTATAAAGTTTAAATAAGAAGGTTACTTGATAATATCCTTAACAAATTATAATAATCTTTAAGTTATATTACTGTGAGAACATAAATTAAAGCAATTATTTAGCGTTTTGACATATTTATGAAAAAATTATTTTCGAAAACA